TGGGCGCCCCGCAGGCCCGCCAGGCTCGGCCTCCCCACAGCAGCTGTCCTGGCGCTGCCCGGCGCTGGCCCTGGCATTATTTCTCACTTATTTTGCTTTCTCTGGACAGTTTTCTATGAGCGACGTGATACTTCCGCTTGTGAGAAACATTTTAAGGGTCTTTTTCTGGGTGGCCCTACTGGCCCCTCTGCTGGCTTTTTTGTAAAAAAGATTATTTATGCACACGAGAGCTGGGGTACTGGCCGGAGCAGAGGTGAGGGGGGTGAGAGGACTCCCCAGAGACAGTGGGGAGCAGCAGGCGGACCCACTGACATCCACTACCGAGGGAGGCGGGGTGTCTGCTGCGCCCTGGGGTCCCTCCCTGGCTGGGGTCAGCCTCGTGCTGCAGGGGCCGCGGGCAGCTGCACAGCGCTGCACTTTGACCCTGGCGCCCCCAGGGAGGGCCCTGCCTTTTGCTTTTGAAGCGAGGTGACACTGGTTTTTCCTGCCTCTGCCATGCCCATGAGCTGGCGCCTGTACTCAGGACTGCCCCGTGGCCGCCCTGCCTGACCGGCCGGTGGCCTCGGGCCCAGCCCTCCCTGCCGCCCCTGGGGCAGCGCCGTGGCCTGAGCGTCCTCCGGGACCTGACGGCGCTGTGTGTCTTGCAGGCAACGTGGTGAACATTCAGACGGGCCACTGGGTTGGGAGGCAGAGCGGCCTGGGAGCCGGCCTGGACTCCTTCTACGAGTACCTGCTCAAGTCTTACATCCTCTTTGGCGAGGAGGAGGACCTGGAGATGTTCAGCGCGGCCTACGCGAGTATCCAGAGCTACCTGCGGAGAGGGTGAGTCGCCGCGCCACGTCCCGGCAGCGGCGAACAGACAGCCTCTGGGTCCTCGTCGCCGAATCCCTGTGTCGCTGGCCCCTTCGTCACCTGCCCACCCCCCGCCGGTCGTGGGGGGGGCGGGAGGGTGTCGGCTGCTCTGTGTCCCAAGTCACCTTGGGCTGGGGGCGTCAAACAGCACCCCCTCTCCGCGGCGAGGGTGCCAGCGGGCCTGTGTGGCAGCGTCCCTGCGGGCAGCCGCCTGCCTGGCTCTGTCGTCGCATGCGGGAGGGTCCTCGGGGTCGCCGTCGGCGCGGGCTCCCGGGCACAGACACACCCCATCTCCACTGCGCCCCGAGTGCACATGGGGCGGGGTCGGCGCTGTGTCCTGCTTCTCCACTGCGCGGAGACGAGCGAGGGGGGTGAGCCCGGCCACCGCCACATCTTGCGGAAGCCGGCTGCCCGCTGCTGCCCGGGCCCACCCGGCTCGGCGGCCAGGCGGCCGTGGGGCGCTCAGCGCTTCCCCTGCATCCCCGCCCCAGGAGGCCCTGCCCGGCCGGCTCTGTGGGGTCGGGGCCGCTGCCCGCCACAGCTGCCGAGCTTGCTCAGGGGGGCGCCTGGTCCCCCGCGGGCCGCCTGGGTTGGGGCTGAGGCTCAGGCCGCGCTCCTGACCTGGGCAGGCCCAAACCCAGTGAGGGTGGCCCCGGGCCTCTTGCTGTGACACCTCCTGCGGGGCCTGGGGGTGTCAGGGCCGCGTGAGGGCGCCCCGAGCCCGCGAGGCGCCTCCCAGAGACAGCGGGGGCCCCGCTCGCCCCGCGCGTCCCGCCGTGGGTGTTCCGGGTGGACTCCGTGTGGCAGGTCGAGGCGGTCTTCGGCGGAGGTCGACGGGCGGGTCGGGCGGGCGAGCCCCGCGCTGAGCTCCCTCCGCCCCCGCCCCCAGGCGGGAAGCCTGCAACGAGGGGGAGGGAGACCCGCCGCTGTACGTCAACGTGAACATGTTCACCGGGCAGCTGATGAACACCTGGATCGACTCCCTGCAGGCCTTCTTCCCGGGACTGCAGGTACTGCCCCCGCCGCCGCGGGGCTCGTGTGCAGACCGCGGCGGGCGGGCGGGCGGGCG